AAAGGTTTTACACGCGATTGCTCTAAGCCTTTTAAATTCAGTAAAATCAGTAGTGTCTTGTGTTCTCTCCCATTTTTTAAAAGCTTTATTCCTGGAGTCTCTGATTTCTTTGCATTCGTTATCCCACCAGGCAACGGGGTTGCGATGGAATTTAATGTTAACAAATTTTTTGATAGGAGTATTTTTCTTAACTGAATCAGAGATGATTTTAACATAAAAGTTATATTTCTCGTTGGGAGAAAGATCGTTATACTCTGGAGTGAGAAATACAGAGAAAGCTTCATTAAGTTCTTCATTGACTTTTTGCCAGTCGGTGCGAGATGATCTGATTTTGAAATTTTTTTGATGGTAAGTCATTTTTTGGGAATTGACTTGTATATGTATCGGGTAGTGATCGGATCCCACGGTATCAGTATGAGCCTGTGTTTCTACCATGTCTCTAATTTTATTGCTTGTTATTATGAGGTCAATATTGGATTTGGAAGTGGTATCAATATGTGTAATAGTGTCGGTGTTGTGAATAAAGAAATTCGATTTTTTAATTGATTCTAAAAGATTTTTGCCATTAGAATCAGATTTGTTGCAATTCCAAATTTCATGGTGTGAGTTAAAATCTCCTACGAGTATGTTGTTACATCTAAGGTCAAAGTTAGAAAATAGTAGATCCCATTCTTGTTGGCTCATAGTATTACCGGGGGATCTATAGCATATATAAAGATTAAACGCAGGTTCGACATTGGTTATACGTAGACCGCAAAATTCGATTGAATCGTTCGGAGTAACAAGGTTGTCGATTTCTCTATAGGCAATATTTTTGCGAATAAGTAACACAATACCTCCTCCTGAAGAGTCTTTTCTATCTTTTCTAAAAGTCAAAAAGCCTGGAAGCTGAAAACTTTTATTGTCACTGAGCCAGCTTTCTACGCACACAAAAATGTCGATATTTTGGAGTAAGGCGGGGAGATCTTCCTTTCTTCTCATTATACTGCGGGCATTCCAAAAGATTAATCTGAGAGTTGTGATTGTAGATGATACGTTTCCGTTCATATCCATTTTTTTTTTTTTTTTTTTTTTTTTTTTTTTTTTTTTAATTTTCTTCCATTTCGTCATTTGAACTGTCGATGTCCATTGGTTTTTCTAGCCTCTTGATTATTCTTTTGATTCGTGCTTTTAGGGTTTTGTCTTCTAATCGAGATTGAGTATCCTGGAGCATATGGAGAAGCGCTTGCTCGTTCGAAGAGTGATGTTTGGCGATGGCTTGGATGTCGTTGCTGCCGTAGGTTTCGAGGAGAAATTGCTTGAGTTCCTCATACGTGAGAGGATAGGCATGGGCACTTTGTATGATATGCTCTTTGACAGAAGAGAGCTGATTTTCTATATCTGTTATCGTAGTTCTTTTCTTGAGGAGCTTAATCGGGGACTGGTCGGTCGACGAATTTTTCGTTATAGCTTTTACGTTCGTAGCTTGAGTTCGTGTAAGTTCGCTATTTTCCGACGAGGAAATGCTGAGCGGACGTTTGACTCCAGTGATCAGAGGTTTTACGTGTGCCGTAGAGGAGCTTGGAGGGGGCATCAAGCCGCTCCCGGTAGCGTCATGTCTTGTCACTGTAAGCTCCGTGAAGTTGCCTTGAGAATGAGTTGACGTGGAGTCCGACGTGGAGGGGAGTGAGGGGAATGCTTGATTCTGATCACTGTTCGACGTGTTTATGTCTTCTTGGGAGGGAGATATTTGTGTCTCTATGTTTTTACATTGTCTTGCGAGATGTCCCTCTTCTTTACAGATGAAGCAAGTAAGTTTTTCGCTTGAGAGATAAATCCAGTACTCTGTGTCATCGTAGTCGATCTTCATACTTTCGGGTAGCTTCGCAATATCATTCGGGCTTATGTACATTTGTCTTCTGAAGCTCATGATGTGAGTATATTCGGGTTCGTTGATGCCGGCTCTTAAGAAAGTTATTTTGGAAGACGGTTTAATATCGAATTCAAGTAATTTTTTTTCTATTTCTGTGTGGGGAATGATTGGGCACACATTTGAGAGAATAATACGTTTGGCCTTGGATACTAGTAGTCTGAGCGGAAGAATGTGCGAGCCAATGTTTACAGTTGAGCCCGGTGCGGTAATTTTGTCAGCGAGTTCTTGCGTACTTAGGTATAGACAAACTCTACCTTGCGAGATTCGCGAGGCAAATGTAATATTCTTTGGACCAACCATCTTACCTATCGCTAATACGTAATCTTTGATTTGAAGGCCTTCTATCGCATCCGTAACTATGGCTTGGTCTTTCTTTGGATACTCTAGAGCATGAGAGTACAATACTTTGGAGGAATTTTCTTTATCAGTTGACATTGTGGGTTTTTTTGTTGTTTCTTGTGTGGGTAGACCGTTCCTGTTTCCAGAAAGGGTCATCGCAAACACTTATCGAGTGTGGAAAGTGCAAGCGCACTTTTCCACACTCACAATTATACTATAAACCACTTATTAGCACGAGACTTGTTACGAGAAACGTATTTCTATATCTATAGTAATCACTCGCTTGATGGAACACGTAGGTAAACACGTCTTACCTCTACGACGATCCGATCGAGACTGAGTTTTTGAAGATAATGCATATTATTTTTTACCAAAACTTTTCTGGCTAAGAGGCGAATCAGGTGTACCGAATATTTATGATGTTTCTAAAGCCTCTTCGGTTTTTTTTGAAGAATAATATTCTGTACAAAATAAAAGGAAAAAGAACAATTTTTTTCCGTCGACAGTGTTTCGAATTTTTCATGCGGATTGACCATTCTCTATTTTTCTTTAGGAAGTTCGACTTTTATCGTACCAATTTTTCTGTCGATACAAAGATCAAATAAACATTGAATCATTATTGGACATATATTGCCGAGTCGAACAGAAATGTTGTACATTTCTAAAAGCATTATTAGTCGTGTAAGAAATTTTAATAGGCAAGTATTCGTAGTCGCGGTATAGAAAATAGAGAAACATTAGAGAAACAGAATGTCAGGCTATAAATATTTAAAATTAGATGAACAAAATCGGCATAGTAGCGGGAGAAACGTTGGAAAAATGATTATTTCCTTGAGCAAGTCCCATTTGCATAGATATCCGGAGAGGTAGGGGTTTTGCCTCGAGCAAAATCCATTTCTCGGTGCATTAATTGGAAAGAAAATTCGATTTTTCTCTCTCCCTTTCGGTCGCTCGCTCTTTCGCGAATATCTTATGAAATCGTCGATTGTTACGTTCGGATCTCATTACCAGAACGTCGAGCGATTGATCGACAACGCGCCGTCGCGTGTGTCAGAGATTTAATGACCTCGGCGAAGGTGAAGTAGTAAAAAAAAATTAAAGAAAGAAATAATTTATTTTACGCACGTAAGCCAGAGTAACGGCGATGATTAATTAAGAGTGTGCCATCAGTCACCAGGTCAAATCCTCAACATTTAGACGCGAGCTACGACACAAGAATTTAGTTTGGAGGAGGTAGAGAGAGAGAGAGAGAGAGAGTCGTAATGAGTTTCCTATTAGATTTACTTGGGATCGCGTTGCCATGACAACCAAGGCGAACTTTCAATCTCTCCTTATCTCTCTCTCTCTCTCTCTCTCTCTCTCTCTCTCTCTCTCTCTCTCTCTCTCTCTCTCTCTGTCAGCCTTACTCTCTGCGTTTTGTCGCGCAATGCAAAACGTAACGAGTTTCGCTTGACTTACAGAAAACGCAAGGACGACGACGTTGGTGGCGCGAGCGCTTATCTTTACGAGTTGCATCAGAAATTTCAAGGGACGTAAAGTCGGATGACTGACGATTAAACGCCGCCAACCAGCGGCGTGGTTTTATTCGGGCTCGAATAACCATCTCTACCCGAAAGCAACGACGAATCGTAAATAAAACGCTCAAGCTAGTGTCGCCTCGCGCTGCCGAGGGCTAAAAACAGATCTAATCTTATAGGAATCGCAAAGAGCCGTTTTCGGACTCGTTGTCGAGAAGAAGGGAAAGCTATCCACCGCCGTTGTCGTCGTCGCGGTAAAAGTTTTCCAGTTTTATTCGCCGAGTGAAAGCTGTTCTCCAGCCGCAAATTGAAGCAAACGATCATGACATAGCTTTAGAAGTGCAGAATCCATTTCCAAGTGCAGCGTCGATTGTATAGCTCACGGGGGGAGGGGCTGGTATCCAATTGAGAGAACGGTTAATTAATTGTCATGCTTCGTTTTGTTTCAAAGGCTCGCAAGCACCAAAATCGATGAACCTTGCTACCTCACTAACATTAGCTTAAACGTGGCTATTTAATCCATAGTCGCGGGTAAACCTAATGTCGCGTAATTTTTCATCTCGTTGCTTATTATAGCAATTGTTTTTGGTAATATTCGCCGACATAAACTTGTTGCTAAATTAGTGATATTGAATATCAAGAACTAAATCAAGCATGAAAGGATTATGTAGGATTCGTCATTTGTCTCTTATACAATGTATTTTGATTTTCATGATCAAACCTAAATCTTTCAAAATGGTCTCATAACCGATTTCTTTCTCGCCGATAAAAATATTCCGGTTATATCGTCAAATTTAGTGCAAATTGCAAAAACAAAAAAAAAGCGTCTTCTCAAATATGTAGCCCGTCGTTCGCGCTGGCTGCGAATAGCTTTAGAGAAGCCGAAGCAGGCTATTAGGAATCAAATAAAGACAAACTCGAGCTTTCGCCCTGTGGTAAACGTTGTCGTCGCACGTACGACGGTACTTTGCGTATTTAACGTCCGTAAGCTCGTCGCGTCCGCTTCACGTACATGGTAGTTTTGTTTATTTCGATGGCTTTCTCTCGAAGTTTCGCAAGAGCGAATGAAAGCACGTAAGTCGAAAAGTTTTTCTTTTCAACGTCAAGTGTTAAATAAACGAATAAGAGCTGGCGTCGTTAATAACGCTCATTAGTAAAGTTCATCTGTAGCCTCGCAAGCATTTTTTGTGGACTCACTACAGTCGAAGAAAGTATTGAAAAAGAAGTCTTACCCAAAATGCCAAGCCTGTAGTTGACGGTAACGACGACGAGACCACCGTAGCTGGCAAGGACGCTGCCGTCGTACGGATTTCCACTGTTCCACTCGTAGCTCTCGCCGTGCAGGAAGACGATAACCGGGTAACTCTTGCCGCTACTGCTTCTCGCACCAGCTGGAACAACAACAGCGCCGTATCGTCATTATGCTACACATCTCGCTCTCAATCAACTCTGTCTGATTCAAGTTGCTCGATTGCCGTAAACTACCATGTTAATTACCACGCTGATATGACTTTATGCTCAAAGTCAATGTCTGATTGTTGGCGGATGCCAAGTGTAGTATCTACTAGGCTGGCTCATGACTAATTACCTTATAAGGACTCATATAGATGAAACTTGAAATTTTATGAAATCGCGATGTGAAATTTGAATTTATGGTTTCATCAGAAATTTCTGGAAATTTGCAGCAATATGTTAATAAATAACACGAAGAACAGTAGTAGCAGATATTTTATCGCATGTCATACGTATGTAAGAAAATGAGGTAGCAGCTTGCCCGTGCTGTGTATCTGACGCTTGAAAACGGTTCAAGTATCAATAAAACATTGAACATGGCGATCGGTGTGTATACAAAATTTCCACACTAAATTGCATTGCCCCTGAAAATGTGTCGAAACTTCGGAAGCACTTTTTCCTCGAAACAGCGTTCCCTCGTTAAAGCGGCATGATAGAAAAGCGTATCTTCGAGCTTGTCCGATAAACGATCGACGAGACCGAGCGAGCAGGAAAAAACTTGCTCAAGCAATTTCCTCGATCGTTCCTACCGCAGTATAGGGTCCCGCGAGCGAGAGAGTGAAAACAGACTTCGGCAAGGCAGCTATCAGTTTGGCATCTCCATATCTTAACAAACACCTGCGCGTCCGGGTCTGGTGCGCACGATGGCGAGAATGCTCGTCGTGCAAGAGGTAAACACACAGGATATATGTATATCGTGGTGGGTGGGGAGGCAGGATGCCTTAGCGATCCCGGCAATTCGCAATCGCGGAAAGGATTCGGTGTGTTCTATACTAATTACCGGCCTCGGCGTGGCAGCGCGGCCGCCGCCGCCGCCGCCGCCTCGTGTAAACTCGGGCGGCTAATTCAATTAGCTCAAGCGCGTGGCGTGGCGCGGCTTTGCCGCAAACATCTCTCACCCCCGCTCCCCCTCCTCCCGCGTCCTGCTATGCACGTCAAGAGATATTTTGCTGCAGTTTATCCTTTGATGTTGGCGAGAAATAACAAATATGCATTGATTTGTCCCAACGGCACTCGCACGTGCCTGTAATTCTAACACTGCGAGTAGCCGTATTGATTGTATTATTGAGTTCACTCGTTCTTTCGCCTTCTTTTCTTTCCGTGTCCGGAAATTATACGCTATAGCGCCTTGAAAGATTACTCGCGAATAAGAGAAAGAACTTTCACGCTTCTTCTTTCTGCCTTCTTTCTTTCTTTTTTTTTTTTTTTTTTTATGAAAATTGAAAGAGGCGAAAGCTGCACTCCCACGCTCCAACTATCTTACGCTGGAAATTGAGAGATTTTACTTTTTTATTACGCTCCAGCCAGGCGAACTCTCTGCGTATTATATTGTTCAAACATAAGGTTCTATCTCGCCGGAGTGATTCGACTACTACTACTAGTACTACTCTCTTTCTTTGCTCTGTGCTCACAAGCTCAACTTTTAATTTCACCTGCAAATACCTGTGATTTTCAGTTAAAACTGATTTGTAAGACAAATTTATCACGAGTAAAACTTCTCTGAATGACTTGTCGAGTAGAGATTAGATTAAAGTTTAATTTTGAATGATTTTATAAGGTCGTCAGTGATTATCTACAAGATCGTGATTAGATCTAAATTAAATTGAGTAAACGAACGCCTGAATATATTTAGCTGTGAAGTGAAATAAAAATAAATCATAATTTAATACCGGAAATCGCACTCTGAAGAAGCATCAGTAAATATACAGTGAAAATTATTTCGTTAAGTTGCTGGATTTTTAAAAAGAATTTTCTCATGCTTAGAATATTTTATTTATTAAATAAGATTAATTTTTTTTTCTCAAATATAGAACATGTCATTCATAAATTAAGGAAAATATCTTATATTTTCTATAAAAGAGCGCAGAAAAATAAAAAATTTTATTTCTACGTATTATTTCATGTGTAAATAGACGGAATTGTGTCACCTAATTGATAACAATTTCTTTAATTGATACCACTTAAAGCAGTATAAAAGCCAGTAGTCTGAAAATGTTAGAAAACCAAAATGTTTCGATACTTATTAATATTTATCATTACGGTTCAGACGTATTCTTCGAAAGCCATGCCATCAGTATTAACTCATTCGGGTAAAATCGTAGGTCATTATTTGACCTCCTTTAAAGGTAACAGATATGAAGCATACCAAGGTATTCCATATGCAAAACCACCTATTGAAGAAAGAAGATTTGAGGTACAGAGTTTTGATTTTTTTTAACTAAGCCTATAAGAATGATTGATATTAGATTTGTTGTAAGTAGTCACCGGAACCAATTGAACCATGGTCGGGGGAACTTGAAGCAAATCGTTTGCGTGATACATGCTTACAGTACGGGCGAAAACCCTATTCATCTGGTAGTTTAGTAGAAGGCAGTGAAGATTGTTTGTATCTGAACATTTACAGCTCAGTCATTAACAAAAATGCCTCACTACCCGTTTTGCTTTACATCCACGGTGGAGGCTTTCACTTCGGCGGCAACACGCAAGAAGAAGAGTCTTACTTGATCGACTACAGCGTACTAGTAGTAACGATACAATATCGACTTGGAACACTGGGATTCCTGAGCACCGAGGATGATGTAGTGAGCGGAAACATGGGTTTAAAGGATCAATCATTGGCTCTGCGATGGATTCACGAAAATATCGTGTATTTCGGTGGTGATCCTAGACGGATTACTCTTTTCGGTGATAGTGCCGGCGCAACCAGTGTTCACTACCACTTCCTGTCGCCAATGAGCGCTGGCCTCTTTAATAATGGAATATCGTTCAGCGGTACGGCTTTTAATTGCTGGGCGCAGGCTGAAAATCCACGAGACAAGGCTCTCGAATTGGGCCGAATCATGAATTGTACAACGAACGACATTCGATCGATGGTTCGGTGTCTCAAAATACGATCGGCTCGCGATTTAACCGCAGCTCAGGGTCATTTCAAAGTACACGATTTCTGTTAATATGCCGATTGCAAAACGCGAATGAATCATGACTGATTTACCTTTTAGCCGTGGAGAAACAATCCTCCAGTGCCCTTTGCACCAGTGGTAGAGAAATTTTCCGATGATCGTACTTTTATTGATAGATCTCCAATCGATATTATAACAACTGGTAAACTTTACGACGCGCCTTGGATTGTTGGGATTGTCAGCGAAGAAGGATTATTTCCAATGGCAGGTGTGGACAATATGATATTTATTGTGAAAACATAATGGATAATTATTTTTCTCGTTTATTGTTGCAGAGTATGCCGAGGATAATATTTTAAAAGAAATGAATGACAACTGGGATACGTTAGCTCCTTTAATATTGAATTTTAATTATACCATACCCAAAGAGAATCATACTAGTCTTTCACGAAAAATTCGCAAACATTACTTGGGTAAAAAACCCATTGACAAGACGTCTTTCATGAATGTCGTATATTTAGTAGGTGACAGGTGGTTTACAGTCGATTCTGAAAATGCTGTTCGAGCGCATGCGCAGGCAAGCAGAAATCCAGTTTGGCTTTATTATTACAGTTACCGAGCAACTGATAGTATGAGTTATGAACTTAGAAATGACACCCAAAATTATGGTAAACCTTGATAGGTCTTAGTTGGTGTAAAAAAAATTATCTTTGATTATTTTTTCTAGGTGTGTGTCATGGCGATGACATTAGCTTACTCTTAAAAAATGACATTGTTATACCGACAAAATCCCCGAGTGATATGGCCATGCATACTGATTTGATCAAACTTATAACATCATTTGCATATAATGGGTACGTCTATCGAACTACATGATATTAGTATGACAAAGTTTAAATAAAACTTACATTTGCGTATTAGGAAACCCGATATCAACACCAAATGGCATACTGTAGATCCATCAAAAACATTGAATTACTTGCATATAGCTGGACCGGGAAAATTTCAAATGGAATCGGCGCATAATTTGGCCGAAAAGAAATTTTGGGATTCTGTTGACTTTGATAAAAACAAAGTTAAAAATTGGATGTGATTTGATAGAAAGTATTTGAAAAACACGAAGAAAATGCAATTTGAATAGCTGTTAAATTTCTATAGTGCTGGTCTTGTAAATAGAAATCGATTTTTTACCAGGCTTGATAATCGCGAGGTATAACAATGTATAACTTTATCTAGCGATATCTATTTGTGAAGTAGCGAATAGAATTCCCAGTCAATACTCGATTTGATAGCCCGCAAAGTCATACACGTCTTATCTTCATCTTCGCATTTCTATATATCTATTATTATAGAGCACTGTTATTCCGGCTGGTAGAAGGATAATCAAATCCCTCGATTTCGCGGCATGAAAACTCGAACATACGCCGCACTGCCAGAACCTCCATAACCATCCATCCGTCAAATGTTTCGGCATAAAAAGCCATACCACAGAGTATAGTAAGCGCATGTCAATCGAATAGTTCTTCTTCCAATCTTATAATACTCCTCACTTTTTTTCCCTCTCCGTATCGTAGCTTATTCAATAAAAACGCCAACGTGCTGCGCAAAATAGCCTATTTTTTTCTCTGAAAACGCACAAAAAATAGACAGGAAAAAATTAATAAATTTTTGAGAATCTCTTTATGTAGCAAAGAAGGTCGAACGTGTACATATACTAAAAAAGAAATTTGGAGTTGCTCTAAATAAAAAGACTAAAGTGCCCCGCACAAATTGCTGCTTACAGAACAAATTCCATGCATCAAAAATTGTGTAGCTTTATAGGCCTCTTGGAACTACGATGTTCCTTGCTACGAAAGATCTATGCTACTCACGCGCAGCTAGAAGGCCTTGGCCTAAACGACCGATAATTAAATATACAAAAAATTAATGAAACAGGCTTACAGACTAAAAAATTTAATAAATAATAACTCGCTACAGTA